GAGTTGAATCTGGTTGAAATGTAAGTTGTTGTTTTTTTTCCAGATGCCTTTGTTACATGAACTGTTATTTCAACAGAATTGTATGTATTAAAATACATGCTTCACACTGAAATATAGTTGTGTAAATGGTATTTAAACAACTGTCATGTGTAACCTAAAAATTCAGTAAACTTTCACTTTTTTCTTCTCTCTTGTCAGTTTCAATCTGAAAAGTCTTGATGCTTTTTTACCTGCAAATCGCCAAATCAGTACATCAGTAGCTGGTGGTTTGTGTGCATGTGTGTGTGTGTGTGTGTGTGTGTGTGTGTGTGTGTGCAACCTTGTCTCCCCTCGCCTCTTCTCCCTCCAGGCCGTCGCAGTAAATAGAAGTGTTGCATTTTAGTTTTAGTCATCTTGCCTGATGAATTTCACAAAATTCTGCTGCGTGTTAGGAAACAGACTCATCTGCACCGTCAGTCTGAGTCGCGTTCAGCTCGGCTGATTTGCTGTGACTGTTGTAGCCAAAGCCAAAACTTGATCTGTTATTCAACTTTTAGGATAAATGGGTTTTGGTGTTTGATAATTGCTGTTCAGCTGCCACTTCTGGCTAACGGTTTTTGCGTGTCTGCGTGTATGTTTCTGTGTGTGTGTGTGTGTGTGTGTGTGTTTGCGTGTTGTCTTGATGACAGCCAGCCTCGCCCCGTGCCAGAGGATAAAGGGCCGCAGTCTGTCTGGGAGGATTTCAGTGAGTGATGAGCCGGAGAGGAGTCTGTCCACTGGGAACTATTTCAAAAGCTGTTGATCTCATTATTGGCAAGAAAACTGAGTAAATTAACTTACAAGTTTTCAAACCTAAAGTACAAAGAAAGACTCACCTGAGTGTTTTCTGATCTGTCACCTCTATCATTAAATTCTAGTTCAGGTAACTAAAACTGTAAGGAGAAGACTGTGGTCAAACCTGAATTTAGTGTTGGTCGTAAACAGGATGCAAACTGATAGGTAACAAGAAATGGCAGAACAGGAATGCCAAAGATGTGTTTGGAAACTGATTTGCCATTAAACATTTTGTCCATCAGTAAGGACCGACAGGATTAGGCCAGGGACACAGCACTGGAAGCGTGGCGTGAGCGTGGTGGCCACGGAGCGTGTTGATTTTCATTTCAGTGTCCATGTTAACATGTTAGAGTGGACACACTGGCTGAGTGAGACACGTCTCTCGTCTTGTGTGATCTTAGAGATTCGGCCTCTCGTGTGTCCCATCAGAAATAGACAGAGAAAAGACCTGCTGATGTCGTACTGACATCATGCCAGCCACATGATGCAAAACTGACACCTTCCACTATAGTTTTCTCTGTCTAGGCTGAATCTGAATATGACACAGACATGAAAAACCATTGATATATTTTTTAACCATTTTAGCAGCTGCATGTGGAGACAGTGGCACTTTACTGATGTTTGCTGTTAAAAAATAAATCAGAAATTAATTTATAATGACAAGAAATCCAACATTGGAGTAGCCTGCAAACTCTATATAAGAGACAGAGCTGCAGCAGCAGCAGCAGCACTGCAGCAGAGACGCAGCCGGTGTGAATACACATGCATGCTTCTTCGCAGCAACTCGGCGACGTCTGCCGCCCACTCATGCAATGCATCTAGTGTGTTCCCAGCATTATTTTCTAACTGTTTAAAATTGATTTTCTATCATCTGCGCCAGAACAAACTGTAACCCAACACTGAGGTTCAATTGTGTCACCTTAACAGTGGCTTTTTTTTTTTTACCGATTCAGCACAGATAGAGCAACATTAGTATTTTCCACAGCCGTCCTCACTGCCTTCAACTAACTTCTGCGTCTGCACCAAGTGGCAATCTCCGAGGGTGAAACCTGAAGCAAACATGGAAGTACCAAAAACCACACTTTTTCGAATGGCCTGGTTCCAACATTGAGTCAATCCCCATAGACTCCTATGTTAAAATGTCCAACTTTACAGCAGGAATAAACGTGATTACAGCCTGGTACAAAAAACGCTTTTGTTCTGTAGCTAATTTCCTCCTTCATGAGAGTCAGGTACTGGCATAATGATGGCAGATGGCAGAACAGCCTTCTTCAGAAACCTGTGGGTGATGTCACAACTACATCCATCTTTATTTACAGTCTAGGGTCTGCACCCACCTGCTTGAACTCAATCATACAGGCTTATGCTCCTTCTTGACCACTGTGTTCCTCCAAGGAATGTCGTCTGGCATTACCATCCCTGCACATAAGACAATAGTGGTTCTCCGATGGTGGAACAAGCTGCTGAATGCGATCAGAGCAGGTGCATCCCCTCTCTATTAATATTTACATTTACTCATATAGCAGACGCTCTTATACAAAGCAACTTACAAGTGAGGGACATCACTAAAGCTTCCGTGCAGTGGGACCAAGAGCTGGGCGTTGTAGTGGGTCAGGTAAACCCTGATTTTTCTGATGTTGCATCTTGCAAAGTGGCACGACCGGAAGACGGGTGCAACATGGTCAGGGAAGGATAGCTGGTCATCAAACATGACACCCAGGTTTGTTGCAACCTTGGTTGGGTCAGAAATGAAGATGTTGATTTTGATGTTGACATCGTGATAAAGAGAGTGATTGGCTGGGATGACTCGGAGTTCAGTCTTAGAGATTTGAAGGTGGCGTTCCTTAATCCATGTGAATATGTTAGAGAGCCAGGCCAAGATCTGCTCAGAGACAGCGGGGCCATCTGGTGGGAACGACAGGTATAGTTGGGTGTCATCTGCGTAGCAGTGATATGTGAAGCCATGCGAGCAGATAATTGGACCCAAGGAGGTAGTGTATGTTGCACCTCTCTATCTTCAAGAATCTCTTGAAGACTTATTTCTTCTGAGGGAACCTCCTTACATCAAGGTCCCCTACTTCACTGAAGCTTTAGTGGTGTCCCTCCCTCGTCAGTTCTTTTGGATAAAAGCGTCAACAAACAAAGCTACTACAGCAAAGATTCAGACTTTACATTTTTCTAAGCATTAAACTTTCTGGAAAAACTAAAACATGTTGTTTCTGGTCTTGTACCATGTACCAACAACGTTGAGGTAACCAGACTACACTGTTTACACAAGTCCATGATTAATACCTAAATCAGATGACAGGCTTATCTGTCCACACACACACAGATGGATGCACACACTTGGCAGTGGAACACATACACTGGACCGTACATGTGGTGTGATCACGGGCAGCTGCGGCAGCTTAAAGTTATGCAAACTCGTAGTAACACACTCACACGTAGTAACACACTCACGCATACACACTGTGACATTAATATTCAAAAATGTGGAGGATGGTTTGTTGTTGGTTCAGTGTTGTTTAGCAGGGTCTCAGTGTTTCCTCTGCAAGATTTATGTGGCTCACACAATTCATTCATCTGCTCCTCCTGGTTTAATACACACACTCAAACACACATAAAGGCAGAGAGGCAGCGAGCGTTGGCTGGTTGGTTTAAGCAGCTTATCTTGACCCTGTATTCATCTGTCAGTCATAACCTTGACTTTCCTCTGTGTATCAGCTTGAAATATCTCTCTTCCTTTGAGAATCATACAAACAGAACACAGACAGACAAATGAAAGAATAAATATACATCTACAAATAAATAAAAGTATCATTTATTATATATAAAGGTTAAAAAGCAGATATGAAGTTTTTCCGGGAAGGGAGGGAACCTCCTTTGATTGCAGCCACTTGTGCATGTTGTGCTGCTCTGAGGGAGTGCTGTAGTTGTTTAGTTGAAGGGCTTTCTTCTGCATCCTGATGAGGGGATCAAGACTGATTAAGATGCTCCTTGTTCCGCTGGCATAGGTTTATAGAGTTTGCAGATTTTTTTCTTTATTCTCCTCTCGAAGCCAACAGCAAAAGCTCACAGCTTACTGCACATATAGCAGCTGAGGCTGAACCGTAATGTTACTTTAATAACAGTGTTTCACGTTGGGACTAATCGCTCTGTGTGGTACCGTTAATGAGGTTGGGAGAAGGTTTCAGCACACACAGGAACACGCATAGTAAAAATCCCAGGTTCCCAAAGATGTTTGGGCAGGAAAAGAGCTGACACTGGCAAGAATTCACCAAAACCTTAACTGGTCCATACAGTTCTGTCTGTTTGGATGTTGTCATTATAATAGGATTTTGAATATTGTCTGGGATTTGTTGTTACCTTGTAAATAGTCTGACTCACTGGATGTAGGCCTTAGGTATAAGCCTGCCATTGGGCGATGTTCTCCTCCCTTTCCCATTCCACCGTTTTCAAAAGCCCTTTCACTACAATTTGGATTGTGTAGTCACACAGTGGATACACGTCTGCTGCTTTTTGAAGTGTTTTTTTTTTTTTTTTGCAGGGAATTTGCCATTTTAATGTTTACATTGCGAATGGACTCAAAGCAGTTATTGCAGTATTAATGCACTTTCTACTTAACATGACCAACTGTTTTGACACGCATTACATGTAATGTGCGTTGTTAACGTACCCAGGTGAGCAGGTACACACAGCTTCTTCTGGCGCATCTTACATGCAGCTTTGCTTTTGTCCAGCTCTTCACTGTCTTCATAGTTTTTAAATCTGAAATGCAGCCACACATCTGTCTTTAGACTTGCCACCGACTGTCATGGTTTTATCTCACGCGCACGGCTGAGCTGCTGGCTCGTTTCAAAGGTTGGCACCGGCAGCTCTACACCTACAGTCGCCTGACGGGATCTCGTTGTGACAGCATCTCATCACATCCACAGCAGAGTGTAAAAGACAAATATTAAAAGATCGATCTTGGGTTTTATGAATCGATATCGGATTATTCAAATGAAGATCGAGTTCAATCGGAGAATCGATTTTCTTCAACCCAGCCCCAACCCAGTCTCGTGTGTCAGATCTTTCTGAAAGCAAAACAGCCTCTAAAATGTTGTGACAATATTTTAAGGTCAATGTGGAAACCTGGCCTGAACATATACAGTAAACTCTTTTCTTTTCTTCTACTTCCATCGCAGGTTGACAGCCGCCATCCCACCTGTAACTTCATGCTGGAGGTGGAGAGAGACCAGGTGGAGTGTCTGCGGCGGCTGAGGGAGGAGGAGGAGGAGGCTGCCAGCAGCCTTAAAGGTCACAATCACTCACAAACAATTACAGTCACAATCGACACTTTCCTTAGAGAAAGAGAGAAAGACATTTTAAAACTTTGTGGAGCTGAACTGGATCTTAAAACAGGAAACACAGAGCACATGTACAGAAGGATATATTAAAGTTCATACATGCAGTATATTCATTCCTCTGTCATGTGAGGATGTGAGCAGTTTAATCCTGTGTTTTATATTCTGTTCAGCTGTGTTTCTCTACACAAAATGAAAAACCAACAGATTCCAGTTCAGGTCACTTTCTCTTATTGAAACCCGTGTGATGTGGCTGGGAAAGGATTCCATCTCAATCAAACCTGGACTAAATCTGGATCTGAGACGCACTTGGTCTGACCTCCAGAGATGACAGGACAGATTAAACCTCATTTTGAAATATCAGATTATTTCTCTGCCTGACTGACTTCAGACAAAACTAATATTAAACACACACAATCTGCAGTCTTAGAAATCTGTCGCTCTTTGTTCTTGATACAAAAGCATTATGCAGGGTGCCAGCTCGTGTATAAAATGACATACACTGAATCATTTCATATTTAATTTCAATATGCTGGAGGTTAAACCCTGGACCACAGATGAACTGAATAATGCAGGTTAGAAAACAGTAAATATTTTAGCACTTGTTTGTAAAAATATAAGGGGAGACTATGAAAGTACTGACGGAGTGATGATCAGACACGGCTGATTGAGGAACACAACTTGATATTAAAAACAACTGATGATGCTACGTGACTTATTATGACTGATAAAGTCCAGACACCTACCTCGCCTCCTGATTGGGTCTCATCAATCAGTGGTGAATGCAACATGGATAGCAACCAAAGGTAACACCACACATTTGTTAAATGACCTGGAACACAATCACATTGCTGAATCTGAAGAGAGCATGACGTGGGCTTTCATTAATCGTTAACAGATAAAAGTTTGAAATAATCGAGATGCTGAAGTCTTATCACTCAGCCCTAATTCTGCCATACCAGCCACCATGACCATGTATAGACAGCCTGATGGACAGTCAGACTCCTGATTGTATCCAAATGCACACATTATCATTTCTCTCTGCAGCAGCTACATGTTGGATGTTCATTGAAACACACAAACGTACACAAGAACAAAGCAGGAGCAGTCGGATGCAAACTACAGTGATTATTCTCTCCTCAACAAACTTTGTTAGTTTGTTCTCCAAAATATAATAGTCTCTGAATAGCTCCTAACTGTTTCTGGAAAAAAAATAATAAGAAAGAAAAGTGCTGACAATCTTGGTTTAGCTGCAACCAAACCTGGCAACCTGGCAACCTTGCAAACGATACAACAGACTTCAGGAAACTGCAGAGTCACAGCTGTGAGACTGTAAAAGCAGACATTTTTACATTTCTGTAAAGATAAAACATGAGACATACAACTTTAGAAGTGCCGATAGGTGTTTTTTGTGTTTTGTTTTGTTTTGTTTGTTTTTTTTTTTTCAACTTCGGACAGACCCAGGCCGGCTGGTTCCCTCTGCTTCCAATTTATGTGCTAAGCTTGACTAAACACGTTCTTACTCACCCGCCTCTGCAGACATGACATGAGACTGATATCGATCCAAAGCAAACGAATAAGCATATTTCCTAAAGTGTTGAACTTTTCCTTTGAAGGAGCAGATCTGTTTAAACTACCTCTGTCCACAAGTTATTACACTTATGAGGCAAAAATAATGAGGCGTATATGTGGGACAATAGCAGAAATGTCAGCACTCACCCACATGTAGTTATGAAGTCATTAGCATGCTTAACTCTCTGCTTCAGAGAAGTAAAAATAAATAATAAATAGAGGTTTTAAACTGAGACTAAGCTCTCTGGCTCTGATCTGCTTGAAACAGTGTGACTTCAGATCATTCTTCACCCGACTGCCACAGTCAGGAATGTAAGCAGTGCCAGCAGTGTTTATACGCTCCGACCTCAGCTCAGAGATAATGAACACAGAGAGTGTGAACCTGGTGATGTACTGTTATGTTCCATACATGGTGCGAGCATGTATATCTGTACAGTGCACTGTACTGCTACTGGCTTGTTTAGCAGACCACAGCAAAACGTCCTTTTCCGAGCGCCACATGATTAAAAGTGTTTCAGTAAATGCCATATAAATACTATCAGTCTATTTATTTCAGCATTAAATAAGGTTGTTGTGTAGGATTTAACTGCACAATAAATATTTATTTAAGATGTGGTTTTAAAATACAGCATCATCCATTTAGAGTCACTAAATTCATTCTAAAGGTTTTAGAGACAGCGTTGCATCAGGCGTACCTTTACCTCTACCAAGCAGTGATTCTGGCTCCTCCTCCCCCTCCTCCTCCAACATGTCTCACCCTGAGCCTTGACTAGCTTGTTAGCAGCTTAGCAGGTTGGAGTCAGTGTCTGAATCTTCTAAGTTGTTGTCTGTTGTCATCTGTTTCAGTATTGTTCCCCTTGCTCAGGTCGTCAGCCATTGACTTTTTTGTGAACTAAAACTGCCGGAAAAACAACATTTCCCATTGGATCTGATGTTCATGGTTAATATTAAGTTAATACTACAAATCTATCGGATATCGAAGCTTAAGTAGTGACTGGATGGTGTACTTCACAAAGTAGATTTAAATGAGAGAAGAGGTGTGAGGTAGTGCGGAAGCTCCAAGAGTCGCGCTTTATAAATGAATAGAATGGGATGTTTCTTCATGACTGTAGATAGGTCCAACCCAAAGTGTGATGCGCAACAATGGACAGGGTTAAAGGGCTGAGATGGTGATGGGGCAGCATGACAATACAGAATATCTCCATAGTCAAGGTGATCAGTGTATCACCTGCTGTCCCTGATTAATTCCTGGCATGAAGTGAACTCCACAGATGAATAGTCATGACTTTATCAGCGTCTCAGAGAAAGGTCACTGTTTTCCAAAACAGATGTTGAGAAGTTTGAAGGGAAACTTTCACACGTTGCGGTGCAGATGAAATGTGCTGCTGCTTTTTCCTCAGAGGAAAGGCTCGTTTCTGATGTAACCCCCTGCGTGCATAATTATCCCAGCACAACTATACTGTAGGTCTCAATACAAGATCCAATTAGTCTGAGTTTGAACTGAGAAAGTTGAGCTAACTTTTCCTTTGCCTCCTTAAAGTTTCATGCATATCTACTTCTGAAACGTAGTGTACGCTAAGTTTACATGTTTAATGCACACTTCCTGGTCTTATGTCCAATGTAAAAGGCCCATGAAAAACAAATTCATTCTACTATCCTTTTTATCTACAGCAAGCTAAAGCGCAAAACTTCCTTAACAAGCCAGACTTTCCCCTCCACTGATGTGAGCTCTGGACACTGTGAGTGCCCCCCCCCCCCCCGCTGTGATAATTGAAGCTCAATGACACAAAGTAGAGCAAAAATAACATGGCACAAATCCTCTTCACGGGGGGGGGGAAACTGTGCTGGTAAGAGCGTTCTGAGAGCGAGTTGTTTCCTGGAGCGAATGAAGCCCTCAGGACTTCATCTGCCTTGCTCGATTCGACAGGAAACATGGCTCAGGTTTAGACTTCGGTTAATACTCTTAGGTCTGAATGTACGAAAGCTACAACATGGAGTTGTTGTTCCAGTTTTGTTATGTGTAGACATCATCTCTAAGTACAGCATCAAGGTCATGATCCCCCACTGGCTCCTCACCGCTGACTTACTGGGTGTGTGCGGACACCTTAGGATGTCGCTTTGAAGTAAAGAGACTGTCCTAAAAAATGAGCCCATAGGTCGTCTGTGCAGCAGGTTATTATGACCCATAGATATGTTTTGTTGCTAGGCGACATCTAGTGGTCGTAGTAATTATGGCAGGAGCAAAGAAAAAAGTGCGGGGACGTAGTCTAAAGAGAGATGAAGTCCACGTCAGGAGGAGGTTGTGGTGGAATACGACACAGGAGAGCGCTGTTCAAAACACAAGTGGAACAAATAAAAGTTAACGCGCACTCCGCTTCAGCAAATGCAGCGATTAATGTCATTAGCTACACCTGTGATTGACGGACAAAAATGAAGACTGCAAGCCCATAAGTTGTCTGTGCAGCAGATTATTATGACCCATTGTTACGTTTTGTTGCTAGGCGACATCTAGCGGTCATGATAATTATAACAGGAGCAAAGTGATGCAGCATAAAGAGAGACAAAGTCCACATCAGGAGGAGGTTGTGGTGGATGGAGGATTGTGACACAGGAGAGCGGTGTTCGATTCCCATGTGAAAGTAGCAGTTTATGTTGTTTCTATTATCCAACCACATTGTTATTACTGTAACCATGACAACAAAGATCGTCTAATGTTGAGGAAGTACTTATGTTAACCAAAATCACGATCTTTTCCTAAACCTAAGCAAGCCTGTTATTACAGTAACCATGGCGGCGAAGGTAGGTATGCTGCTTTCGGTACAGTCCATGTGTTTATTATTGTAACCATGACAACCGAGGTCTGGTACGAGTGCTGCTATAGGGGCGCTATTTCTGGAGACACTCCCATGGGTCGTATCAGGAGGTTGAAAAAACAACCTTGGCTGGAGGAGATGTTGGACGTGATGACTGTTGATGCAGCGAAGTAAAAGGTCTGCCGTTGAAGGTTAATGGAATCCTGTTGTACAGTTCATATAAAAGAGTCAGTCTGTTTAAGTAACTGCACTGAATAAAGGGTCCCCTGCTCAGTCAGCCTTCACTTTGTAGTGAATAAAGAATAAAAAAAGACCATAAAGCGGAGACAGGGGATTTACCCCCAGATGTGTGCTGCTGTGCATTTGGTGCGTTGTCGGTTAAAGGCGGCGGTGATGCCTCAGTGTTTCTGTGAAAGCGCACAGAGAAAAGATGGATCACTTAGCGGGTAGACGGACGTTTCCTCATGCTCCGGTGAGCTCAGATTCCATTTTTTTACCCCAAAGACATCTGTTCTCTCGTCTCGTCCTCTCTTGCCCTCTCTGTATCTCTGTAATCTCTTCTCTTTCACTGCTCCCCTTTTCTTTACCTCTGCACTTTCACCCCTCCTTTTCAAACTACCGTTTCCTCTTTATTTTCCTGTCTTCTTAGCAAATCTTTAATACTCCTTTTCTTAGGTTTTTCTTAATGTCCGTCTTGCACTGACTTCTCCTCTCTATCTAGTCTCCTAATAAAAGTCTTTTCACTGGTCTAATGGACTGTAATGGAGCATTTTCACTGTCCAGGCCATTTACAGTATAAGCTCCCGTTCCTACATTAGAGAAACAATATGAGACCAATTGTCAGGTCAAAGGTCAGAGAGCAGAGTCCTGGAAAAAGATAAGGCTGGATTATGAACCGGGCAAATAGGGGCAACTTTCTGGGGGCCAAACCCTCAGGGGCCCCAAAGGGTGTGTTTCTCACATTAGAAGTCTCCCAAAATGGAAATATTCTGATAAAATACCGGAAGTCCTAACAGCCTCTTTAGAACAGAACTTAAATGAATCCAGTGTTTGAACCTTATTAATGTATTTTACAAATACTGAATCCACCGTGTGACTCAGATCACATCTACACTAAACTGGCTGAGTTTCAGCAGTTTCAGCTTTCATATAGTTTTTCGAGGTACTTGGCAGTATGTATGGGCCCATTGTTGAATTGAATTAATTCAGTGAAAATCAGACGCGGCAAAACATGAAATAAAATATTGAAGAATAGTGTTCAAAGGGTTAAAGCAGAGTGAGTGATCGTGGACAGCAGGAGGCAACAGGATGGAGGTTTTATGGATTGATCCCACTGTGTCTGTGCTACCATCTGATTCTGGCTGCGATGCACAGTTTTGTTGTTCGGAGGGAAGATGATGACATCCTCATGTTCTTTTTCACGTCGTTTCGGTTGCTTCAGTGTGGATGAGGATCTGTGCAGAACCTGAATTGACAATATGAGAGGAGACATTGATGATTAGTTCAGGTGCAGGTGCAGGCGCTCGGGTTTCTGCCTCTCACACCTCAGAGTCATAGGTTTAATCTCTGCATCTGCGAGCAGTCGTCTTCCCTGACGAGACAACAATACTTTCAGTTTCACAAGTCACTCCCGATGATGATGTTGTCAACTGAAACCACCTGAAATATGAGATTAAAGAATAAAACATTTCAAGGAGCCAAGTGAAAAAAAGGCCAGAAAAAAACAGATGAATACATCACGCTGGTTTGTTTAGCTTCTCATGTCCTCTGGCTGTGTTCTTTTCTTTCTTTTTTTTTTTTTAACTTGACACTAATAGGTTTCTTTTTATAGCATTTTTTCTCTCTTCACACTCTGATGCCCTGGTAGCTTGCTGGCTGCATGTCTTTTGCAGGGATGTCGGGGAGGAGGGCTACACTTTACCGAGCACACTGTCTCAATTCATCTATCGCTAAAAAGCCTTGTTGACTTTTCAGTTTGCCATCAGCACTTTCACACCCATTAAGGCTCATGCTGAAGAGCTGGAGGAGCTATTTTTGGTAGGCCGTGTGTTTGTTTTGTTTATGGGGGGGGGCGGGGTTTGTTTTCACTCACTCTACGTGTCTCCTGTGCATTTTAGGAAAGACGGTGTTCAGAAATGCCAAAAATCCAAGAAAATGCTCCATGAGGAGTATAAGTTTCTTTGTGGTCCTATTGTGCTGTATGTGTTTGTTGTAAATAAGCTGTTTATGCTGAGATAAAGCAGCTCAGTGGGGCGTTACTGAATAGAAATACACAATAACATTCTCTGGACAGATGTTAACAGCACACAATATTTTCAAAGTGATATTTTGCGGTTTCTCAGTTTACCTCACGTTGAGTTCTCATCCCTTCTTCTCAGAGTCACAACGCAACAACAACGAACAAACATTGTCCAAACATTTACAACATCAAGTTAATGGAGATAAATCATGCAATATGGTTGAAAGAGCTCTGCTGAATTTTCCCACTCCTGCTCTAAATCCTGGACCATTAACACTGACAAAGCTTTTAGTTTAGACTCAGTTCAGACCATTTTTGTTTTTTAATAATTAATTCATATATGATATACACAGAATAATACAGAATAAAGCAGTCTAGACAATTTTCTGCCATTTTTGGTGTTAATCTGAAAACAAATTCACAAGTACAGATACCAGCTTTACGTTACACATACGTAAGTATTTCAGTCAGGGAGGAGGTACGGTTTGGCAAATGCTACACTTTAAATGTTTTTGAAAATTAGTTTTACAGTAAATGGTTCATGCTTTCAGTGTGAAAAACAAAACCTAGTACAAGGCTGGACAGCGTCGATTTCTATTAGCATCCTGCCTAGTGTCACCTGTGCTCACATACACAGTATTTAATAAAGCTGAATTCATAATAAAGCTGTTCTCATTTACATTTTCATTTCTGTTGTCAGACGACAGAACAGGTTTGAAATAGTGACTGACATGTGGCCCATCAGGCTCCCCGGTGGCTCACCTGGTAGAGCGCTTAGGATCAGTCCTTACCGGGTTCAAATCCAGCTCAGGCCTCCTACTGCATGTCATTCCCTCTCTCTCTCTCGCCCCCAACTTTAGACTCACTGTGATTCACTGACCCTACCACATTGAAGGCAACAAAACGGCCCCCCCCCCCAAAAAAAAATGTGGCCCATTAAGACTTCATGTTAACCGGCAGTCACTTCCAAGCTGCTGCTGCTGCTGCTGCTAAAATCCTGATTATATGACCAAACAAATGAGTTAAAGACAAAGACTTTACTTTGATTTCAGAGAGAAAGTTAGAAGCTGATTCACATCAGCATAGAGAGGTGTGTCTGTAGATGGAAAGCCTGACTCGCACTCACAGGGCAATACTTGCGACTCTCTTGTACGGAAAGTAAGTTTGTCTAAAAGGTCGCTAAATCTGTGCTAGGTGCTTTAAAAAAAACTTAAGTCTAAAAGTCTCTAAATGGGTCTGAAAAGTCAGGTAGTAACGGGGCATTCAGCTGACCAATGGAGTAACTTCATCAGTCAGTCAGTCAGTCAGCTTATACTGTATATTCATGCTTATATGGCTGGCCCCACCATTGCTGTTGCAGTAACCAGTTAGCTCCACTTGCCAAGTCAAATTGTGCTAAATTTTGCATAAATGACATGAGTTTCATACCTGATATGACTAAAATGTAATTTTTGGACTTTTAAATGTACTGCATGTTCAAAGTGTCTCTGATCAGAATTTATTACACTTTGCCATTGTATTCTTTTATCAGTGTGTCTGTAGCCAGTACCGCTGGTCAAAACATGAAACACACATTTTCCCCTACAACGGGAGGAAATTATCTTATCAGTGGTTATTTTTGTCAAAAAAAACTTTTAGCAAATGGAGATTGTGGGTCACTCGAGGCCACGGCACAAACACTGTAATTTTGTTTCTGCAATTACGAAGACAGAATGACAGTGAGCAGAGGGAGAGATGCTCTGGAAGGGAATATCAGCCTGTGAGGCATTTGTATTCATGAGCGCTGCCTCAGTAAGAAAGTGAATTCCTCAGCAGTAGACAGCACAAAAACACAACAGGTTCACTCGCTGCTTTTCTGATGAGGGAGAACAAATTGTCTTCCCCCGAAACTCTGCAGCTGCTCCACGCCTGCTGCGACTTCTGTGCACTGTATATAAACTAATATTTGACCCTGTGTGTGAACCACAGTCTAAAAGGGATAGAAATGTTGCCAAGCAGTTTTTAGTTGCGAGGACATGTTAGATTATTTTGGGAAAAAAACACAACTTCATTAAACGAGTGTCAGAAAGAAAAACATATGAGAAACCACAATGCAAAATGAACAAAATCTGTAACAAAAACTTCATGATGAAAGAAATAACACACCTCTACAAAGGTGACAATCATGATATTTACTATATGTGGAAACCCACTCCCTCACTACTAAGAAATCCTTTTAAAGCATATATAGATCCATAACAAGAACTAATGGCCATGGTTATAATAGTATTGGATTATTCACTAGTTTTTATTTTATCTCCTTGAGAGTTTTTGTTTTCAATTTCAGTTTGTTTTTAAAGCAGGTTTTCTCGCTTAGTTAAATTTTTATTTTTTGAATATACTTTTAGTTTAGTTTTTATTAGTTTTAGTTTTATTGTTATATGGGGAACTTGTCAGGGGTGAGATTCAAAAACGTCTGAAAAAAAAGTATTGTGTAATCAAACTCAACAAAACACAGATGAACAACATCCACAGAAAACAACTATGAAAGATGTGTGTTAATCTATGTGTTTGTCATTAAACAGAAAGATTCAACTGAACACAATAACAACAACAAATGATGCAGCATTAAGTGTAAAATGTGTGTAGTTCTGTTTCTGAGAAAAACAATCTTGAAATAACTCAAAATCCCAACAAACTCAATGACTCTAAGTCGAAGGTGCTGCAGCTCTCAGGCACATCATTGTAATTAATTAACAGTAAAATACTTCACATGTTTTAATTGACATCATTAATACAGTGAATGTTTGAAAACTTAAAGTTAGTTTTATAAACACACAAACACACAATTTAAGTTAGTGATCTTTTATTTTTAAGCTTCTTTTTTATTTTTATTTCAGTAAATGAAAAATTTTTTAGACATCTAGTTTTTGTTATTTCATTAGTTTCAGTTAACGTTAATAACCTAGCAGGCTCATGTCCAAACTCTCTAGTGTTATTAACAAATGTGACTGAACACATGGAAAAGTTTGGCAAAATCACTCAGTATTGGCCCAAATAGGACAACCCTAATTACAGGGCAATAAAGGAATACAGTAATAGATTAAACCCACCTTTGTGTATCATGACTCAGTCTCTCTCACGCTCTCTTCTGTCAGGCTCTTGGAAACAGTCTAAACCATTTTCTCTGACTGACTAATGCTGTTGTCGTTCAGTTAAAACATTTACTCATGAAGCCACTTTTGGTTTTGACAGAGCCGGGCTGCAGAGGAAGATGGGACAACATAGCGTGCTGGGAGCGAGCTGAAATCGGAGACACTGTCACCATCCCCTGTCCTCGAGCCCTCAAGACGTTGTTCGACAGAAACGGTAAGCTATTTATTCTTGCAGTCAATTAATGATTTAGTGATTTAATGATGTAGTGATTTCTGCGTATATTCAATTTTGCATTTATTTATTTCCTTGTGTATTTATGTCCGGTGGTTAAAAATGAAGTACAAATTTAATGTACTTGTACTTTACTTGAGTATTTACATTTATTTGACAGATACAGTTACTTTATTATGATATAAATGCATTACATGTATTTTGATAATATTTCTGTAAGGTAAAACTTTGAATACAAGACTTTTACTTATACTGAAGTATTCCTGTAGATGTACAAGTGGTATTGCTACTTTTACTTTGGTAAAATATCTGATTACTTCCTCCACCACTGTCACTAATTGGTCATCTTTTGATAAGGCTTTACACAGCTAAAACCTGTCTTCACTTATGTCTCCTTCAGCTCAATTTAAATGATAATGTTTTACTTTAAGTATTGTATCATTTGTGTATGTTGCCGTCCATTTACACACAGTCAGCTTGTCTTGGAGCCCTGTAGAGAACAGTATTATCAGACTCTGTGCCAGCCACAAGCCTGTTTATTTAATGGTAAGGAGACAAGTTTTAACAAGCTATCAGCACTTGTAAGGACATCTTAAATTTACCAAATTTTAACTGTGTTTAGGAGGTTTTCTTGTGTCTGTGTGCTCTGTTTTGCTGTAAATCTTCATTAGGCATCAATTTAAACTTCTGTAAGTGTATTTTTACACGTACATGATAATCAAATCATAACATTATTATTTAAGCGATGATTAGGACTGATATTACCTCATTCCTGCTCAGGATTAGTTCTAACCCAGGCGTTGGATGTCTGCAGATGATTTTTCACACTTGTGCAGTGAGTTGATATTTAAGTTTAGGGTTAAAACTGATAAGTCTTTCTGTCCTCGTTTCAACCTCCCATTATTCACCCTCCGTTAGCTCCTGTCCGTGTAAATGTGTACAGTGAGTGGATTCCCTCCTGAACCCATTAGGTTCTTCCAGTCAGTGACCAGATGGCAATTTGGATCTCCACTCTGAGCCGTGCTCTGATTTACATTGATGACTAAACATTATGTAAGCACCCAGCGGCTTGTCCAGAGCCAAAGTGCACGCTGACGCTTCTCTTGTCTGGGACAGATCTAAAGCCCCTAAAGTTGCATATTACTGAAATAGTGCAGGACTAATTATGTAAGAATGAACATTTAGCAACACCGGGCAACCTGAAGTTATTGAACGTCTTTATTTTGTTTTCTGTCAATAAAATGAAAGTGCAGAGAAACAAGAAATTAATGTTTTTTTTTTTTTTTGTTCCAAAAAGAAATAACCAGTGTTTGGCTCAGATAAAGCTTACTGTATTTTTTTTTTTAGAGTAAAACTCTCAGACTCTTTGCTCTTTTTTACTTTGCTTTGGTTTGACTTTATTAGCTTTGCTCAGCAAAGTATTCTCAACACCAACAACAAATGCTATGAAATGTGATAGGGTCAGTAACCCTAATATAATTAACAGTCAGCCCTGCAGCTCAGTGAGGCTCTTCATACCACTTTATAGCAATGTGAGTGGTGTAACTTTGGGCTTTCAGGGTGTCGGAAATAAAAGTCCAGTTAGTTTTCTGCATAAACATCCATCTATCCATCCAGTTTCTTACACTTATCAGAGGTCGGGTTGCGGTGGCAGCAGGTAAAGTAAAATAGCCCAGACATCCCTCTCCCCAGCAGTGTTTTCCAGCTCCTCTTGGGGGATCCTGAAGCGTTGTCAGGCTATATGAGATATATAATCTCTGCGAGTATAGGTCACTATTCAAAGCTCGTTACCATAGGTGATGGTTGGATCCAAGACCGATTGGTAAATTGAGAGCTTTGTTTTCCGCCTCAGCTCCCTCTTCACCCCGAGGTCTAGTACAATTCCCTCTTTACTGCTGATGCTGTACTGATCTACATGTCAATCTCCCGCTATCCTACCCTCACTCGTGAACAAGATCCCAAGATACCAAGGGCAGAAACTCCCTCCCAACCTGAAGAGAGCAATCCATCGTCTTCCGGCAGAGATCCATGGCCTCAGACTTGGAGGTGCTAACCCTGTTCCCAACCGCTTCACAGTCAGATGCAAACCTCCTCGGTGCAAATTCTCCCGGTTGAATGTCAGTACTAAAGAACTGTAACTGATGATTTTTTCATACTAAAAATGGATGAAATGACTAAGATATTACTCATAGTCATGAATCAACAGAGAATTACCACCTGACTGAACCCATTGTATGCTACTGGTCAGACAGTTCTGCTTTCTAAGGGGCTTTTTCCACAGTCATCACGTCAGTAAACACAGCCAGTCATCAGCAGTGATGACAGTATTACAGTAACATCACTACTTAAAACACTGTTACCCATTAAAAAAATATTTTAGCTTCAACTGTGTTTACCCTGCTGTGACATTGTGAAGCAGTTTTGTTGAGTGTAGCGAGGCAGAAGTACGGTTACTTCCAGTCAGTGAGCAAGAAATGCATCATGCTTTTTACAGTGCATTCTGGGAATTTCCAAGGGAGATGAACTTCCAGTGCACTGCATTGATTTTGGGAAAATGAGAGGATGTAATTCAGGAGGAATTAATTAATTATGAGTTAATTCTCCAGAAAAACAGTAGTTTTATCACATTCCTTCCTCTGATCTGAACATCTCACTGTGTATGGTGCGTCCGATGTCCGCTACCTGCCTCCCTCAGGTGTAGCAGAGAGAAAGAGTTAAGTGGTTGAGGAAGAAAGAGAGAGATGGCTAAACAGAGACAACAAAAACTTGACTGTCAGCTTTTTTTTTTTTTGCAGCCACGCCAACCTTGCACCAATGGCCGTCCATTCTTGTTCTGTTTGCAGAAAGAGGGGGTCTCTGTTGATGTAGGGTTGAAGTCTGGAGATAATTTGCTGCGTATCTCTTCTTCTCTAACAGGTAACATTAGCAGGAACTGCACATCAGCGGGATGGTCGGACATATTCCCAAACATCAGCAGCGTGTGCGAGTCAGACACAAGCCAGGACAAGGTACAGTAAACGCCTGCTGTCTCTCGGCCTTTAAGTCTGTTGTTGCTCTAAATGTCAGGGCAGAGTGTTTCACCTGAACACTAATGAATTCTGACGGTGCAGCAGCGAAAAAAAAAGCTGTAAAACAACACGGCCCATCAGTGACCTGTAATTGACGAAGCCTGCAGGGTTGGATGTTAATTAACACCAGTTAGTGGTGAAGGGCTGCATCTTTAAAAGGCCAATATGCCCAACAGTAGTGTGATACATGTTTAAATGTAAGCAATTTGTGTGTGTGTGTGTGTGTGTGTGTGTGTGTGTGTGTTGTGGTATTTGCGTCATTAAAAAAAAAACACCATTAGCCTTTGGTCTTGTTGGACCAATTTGGTGATTTAATTTTGTACTTCCTAGAAAGCTTGTGTAAAGCATGAGCCTGGCAGAACATTTTCAGGTTTGAACCTTAAATGAAACATTTAATGAGCTCCTTTACAAAGTCTGTTTAATTGTTATTTGCTCACATGCTGTGTGAAAAAGCCTTTTTCTCGATATTCATTTACTCATCCAGGCAGCTGCATGAAAGACAATTAAAACTATAGAGCGAAACTGTTGCTTAGTTTTTTACTGTATTATTAAATAATAGTGTACATAAGGTGCATAAGCCTTTATTTGATAGGACAGTGTAGAGTGACAGGAAATGGGACAGAGAGCAGGGGAATGACATGCAGCAAAGGGTCCGGCCAGCTATGAGTCCAACCAGGTGTTTGCTGCTCAGAGAATTTGCTGCCATGTGGTATGTGTCCTAACCACTGGGCTACTACTACTCTACTGTGTGACAAATAAATAACTGAACAATATACAGAGCTCCATTGCCTCACGTTGTGTCAAACAAATAGCAACCCTCCAGTCGGTGAGGGTTGATTTCATATTGTGTTTGGCCAGTAGCTCAGGCCCAGCACAGGCACACAGCAGCTCTAATGTGCACCTCGAATGACAGGCACACAGAAAGGGCTGATAAAGAGACAGACAGAAACGGTAAAAACTTGATGGATTTTGTTAATGGCCCACTAGCACACTGATGCGGCGGGATTTGTACTGATGCTCTCGATGGTCAGTCTGACTGTAACAGACGGATCTGTTGTCTGTGTATTTGTGAGCAAGAGAGGAAGACCAGTTTCAGTCTCTCTAGATCTTCATCACAGGTATTTAAAAAAAATTAAAAATACTTAAGGTGGAGAGAGACCGAAATGATGATGAATAAACGGTGATGCTGAGCAAGAGCAGTGTGCAGGATATTCTTATTTGCAAGACGAAGTGACACTTTCCAACGCACCTGCACCTGAGATATTGGGATGTGCTGTGAATGGAAAACACTGCATTCTCCTCCTGCATTTTTCTTGTTACTTGATTCTTCTTGGCAAACCAGTTTAGAGTAGGGGTGGGCGATATGACGATATTAGATCGTGAAGGATTACAATGTGAAGACGATCTTTCAAACTGCAGAGATCGTGGGATCGTCTAGGGCACATTCTATCAATTGCAGTTCTATGCTGATGCACCGACGCACCAGACGTATTGACGTCGTCAATCTGACCGACCAATCATAGCAAATTACGGGCAGTGACGCACTTTCCTACCCGCCTCCTTGTTTATGTGTGTAGCGGTAGCACATGGAGAGCGATGGCTGAAAGCCAAACGGAGTCGGTCGCTAAAAAAAATTCCACCTCCATTATATGGAATTGGTTTGGATTTTCCGCAACTGATCAAGCGCAAGCAAATGTAATTTGCAAAGTTTGCACAGAAACCGACGAACCAGAATGTTGTTGTTGTTTACCTTAAACTTTACGTTGTTTGCACATGCAGGCAAAACTGCGACTATTTGAAATAAAATCTGTTAAGAAAGGTTCTTTGGTCTAAATTGTCTGTTTTTCTTTTTTCAATTTAAGATCGTGATAAAATCGAAATCGTGATTTTGTTTTTAAAAAATCGTGATATGATGTTTTTGCCATATCGCCCACCCCTAGATTAGAGGTGCATTACCGCCACCAACCGTCGCTCTCACTTCACATTACTTTTCAAGGCAGCTAGATTCACGAGATCACTCCCTGCCCCGAATATATCACAGAGACACTAAGGGATAGGCCCCACAGTGGAAGCAGTAATGCCAAATCTCAACTAGTCAACATTTCACATTGTCATTTGATGTGTGTTATTTTGATTTGAGCTACTTTGAAGATTGATCTGATGTCTCCTCCAACACTTAGAAACTATCTCTTTCACAGTGTTTCATAGTTGATTTTATTTTCTTTGTGCATATGAGATGAAAATTGAATTGATAAATGTATCAAAGTGATATTAGAAGGCAGAACATTAGACTTTCTGAATGTTTCATCTTGTGCTGCCGCTGCTTTAATGTTAATCTGAGAGCATTCAATTCAGTAATGTTTAAAATTTCACAGAAAGGTTACTAGGTCAATACTGTCATGACTTTTATGTTTAACTGCCATCAGGGGTGCATGTCTGAAAGGGGCTTCATTTGCAGCAGCAAAGATGTTTTTTTAAACTTTAATTTTTAGTTATATAAAGTCACAATGTTTTTTTGGGGGGTGGCTGTGGTTCAGGTGGTTGTCCACTGATCGCAGTTTTGGCGGTTCGATCCCCAGGTGTCCTTGGGCAAGACACTGAACCCAAAGTTGCTTTGGATAAAAGTATCTTTCAAATGAGTAAATATAAATGTTAATATTGCACAAACAGCATATTTAATTTGCTTTCTTACAATATCCACTTGCAGCAATAAAAGAATGATGAACATTTCATGGTTATTTTTAGGCTCTGAATACTGTGATTTCTCCACCACCCAAATAGTTCAGGGAAGAAACGGGAGGAGAGTTTTTGGCGAGAAAGATGTTTGGCCTTGTTTGGCCTAGACAGTGATAATTGCTGCTCCCCTCCTCTTTCACTTCTGTGGTGCGTTCTGGGTCACCACTGGTCTTGTTCTGAATCTCTCATTGTGCTTGTTAAACTGACTGTCCTCCTGTCGCTCTTCTCCATTTCAGATGCTCTGTCTTTCCATTTCTCACTCTTCCATTTCTGCCTCTTTACTTGTCCTTCTCTTTCTGTCTTCCTTATTAGAGGTGGACTGATTATCGGATCTGATATTCATCATTTTTATGATTATTGGAATGTTTTGCTTTATTTAACCAATTGCTGATAAAATTAATTTAATCAAAAATTTGCTACCTTGGCCGGACGCAGCCACCTCTCCCTGTAGTAAGTAATTAGCAGAATAGTGTGTTTGCTGCTGTAGAGAGAGCAGCAATAAACGCTCCCAGCAACAGAAACTCTGACAAATTGAAATGGGACAATACACCTACCACAGCACGTCTGCATGTGAACGACAACTCACTTTCAGGTCATTTTGATCAAGTAGAAGTAAAATTACTTACGTAAAAATATAAAGTCAAGTTAAAACAAATTAAAGTAAACGTTACTTACATTTTTAAAAGGGCAAAGGGGAGGGGTAAAACATCTTATATGGTGACTATGATAAAAATAATATATGATGAAGAACATCTTTAGGCTACCAGGTTTATATGCAGTATGTATTGGTATTTCAATGCATATATGCAGTTCCAGGTGAGAACCGCACCAAAAACAAACAATAAATTCCAGTCACTTCCCAGGCACTTTTCAGCCTGTGCATAGCAGATAAACACTAAAACTGCTGTAGAGAGTTATTGATTCAACTGTGATCATTTTTGAGGATGTGGTGTGTGGAGCTGTTGAGCTGCACTGCATTATACAGAAAGGAGTTTCTGTAATTTAGCCTACCTTCATTGATAGAAAAGAGACAGAATAATTGAAGCACGTGGACACCACAGCAGTAGTTTTGTGTTGGCATGTCAGTTATTGGTCTCCTTGGTTACTAGAAAAAGGTATCTGAATCGATGGACCCTTATTGCTCATCTTCATTTGGTTTGTCTGTGTCCTGTTCTCCAGTCTGAGCAGGTCTCCCTCTGAGTGCAATTCACCCAAAATGTCCCAGAATCTATTGCATGTCCGTCAGATCAAAGCGGCCCATCGTGTTGTATTTTGCAGAACAAAGGAAGAAAAGGATGCATTTATTTCTAGCAGACTCCTCGTGTGTTATTGGAATACTCCAGTAGCTGTGTGAAAGGATTCAAAGGCCCAAGAATCATAAAAACATGAATCAACTTGAGCTTTTACAATTCAGAGAAATGACAAACCTGCTACAGTTCATCTGGCTGACAAACACACTGGTGGTCGGTCAGCACTGCAGCGTCTAGTGGACACGTGTCGTGCTTTTCTTTTGCAGAGTGAATGAGTTAGACCTGGAATCAAAGGAGCTTTGTCCTGTTAAGGAATGTCAATGTCCCTTTTCGTTTTCTGCTGCTCACTGACAGTTAAAATGAGGCAAAATGCCGACTTTCATCTGGAAGGAGCGACAAGGTGTTTTTGAACTGGTGGTAAAAACTTTTAGAAGGTGGGACTGAAAATTGAAGTCGTTTACAGGCCCAAACTCACCACTGGACAGAAACTACATGACAAAAGAAATGTACATAATAGTGGACTTAAATGCAACTGAATGTGCATGTCTCTGTTTCACTGAAGTATCTGACAAATCACAGGGTTTTTTCTTTGTTTTTTTGTTTGCTTCAACACACTCTGCTTCCCAAACTGAGCAGCAGCTGCAGACGAGAGCCCTTTAACTACACAAATAACCAGAAAGTGCAATATAACTTAATTTCATATGCAGGCAGGAATCTGTTTTTTTTTTGTTCTGTTTGTTGGCTTTATGTTGTAGCATCTTTGCATCCAATCAGAACTACAGCCTGGGTTTTAGTCTTTTAGTCTTCTCCCACCGCAGCCCCACCCCTCTGACAAAATGTTTCTCTACAAACCCAAAAAATAATTTTTCAAATCATATTTAAAATCCCCCTTCTCCTTGGGTGTCTGAGCTTCACTGTGCAGCCATGACCTTGAGAATGGACTCTTCAGTGAAG